CTCAGAATTCATCTCTACTGGCCTCTGTCATTAAATTAGTAATTTCACTTACTTAAATGTTGCTTATATTTCAGGTATTAAGATGGGAAATCACAAATCCTGACCTGCCCGCTGCCCGTGTTGCCTTATCTCCATGGAACAGCCTGAGCAGTCTATCAGGCAACATATATATCATATGTATAATAAGGTTTAGGGCTTTTTTGAATGTGGTGATAGTTCCTGTCTTCTCCAGATGCACTTGGCCTCCTTCTGGGTCTCTGTATGGAAATTTATATAGATGAGTAACACATCTGCAACTTGCTCAGCTGCTTGACTCAGCCTSGCTTCCAGCCAGCCAAATTTCAGAGAAGTTGGAAATTTTGGAGACATTAGAACTTTGTGTCAATGAAGTAGACATAGGCAYTGAAGTGAACAGATGCCTCTGTAGCAAATCTCAGTTCCTCATTCCCACCCTGAGAAGCATCCTGCCTCAGCCACTAAATGCCCCTGTGTCCATGTATGTGCACCAACCATCTGTCCAGGCTGGACAGTGTTTATCTGGGGTCCCTGTGGCAGTCATGTGGCAGGTCCTGATGCYCTGCCTCTCCCTGGCATAGGTGACACTCCTTGTTAGAATTGCAATTCCTACAAACAATTCTTCTCTGGGCACCTGAAGTTGACATACCCGTCCCTCTGCTGGGATTTTCCTTATGTTTCCTGCAGTCCTGAAGAACCCAGTGAGGKTTTGTATCCTTTTAAACCCCTCCCTATTCCTGCATTTCCACATTATTCCTAATATTCTTTAGACAAAAAGGGACAAACTGACTTCAGCTGATGAATAAATTATCTCCCTGTACCCATCCAGAGATAATCTCAGAGCACAGCAGAACTTAAGGGCATATTTGTACCCTGCAGTGTGGTTAAAAATATCTGAGTGGATTCCAAGTAATCTGGTGTGCACATTTAGTATTCCTGGCGTGGTACAGGACCAGGACGTGGGTGGCTTTGAGAAGGGTTGGCTCTGAGAAGCATCACTGGTGGTGATGAACACTGCATGTTTTTGCCACTCAAGGTAGCTCACGTGTCCCTGCATGGGGCCTCATCACTGGCTGTGCTGCTCYTGCTCACGTGTGACATGGGCACAAAGCTCAGCGTTGACTACTCCTGACATGCTGTCTTACCCCAGCTCTTCCTCAGTCTGTGYTTCTACTACTGTGGGCTTTTTCTAAAGTGTTAAGAGATGCAAGCAAGAGCACAATCTCCCAAAATTTTGCAACAGCTCTGAAACTGCAGCTCCATAAGCTTTGTCAAATGTCTTTGCCTACTCTTAGGTGACAGGTGAGTTAGGTTACCTGGCCARGTTTCCTTAAGTGTTTGAAGAGGAGCTATACAATCTGAGTTCTCAGTGAAGCATTTAAGTTTGCATCATTCAGTGGTTTGTCCAAATTAGAAAAACTTAGATTGATGTCCTCATAGCTGGGCTGATTCTCAGCGAAGATGAAGGTTTTAGAACTGAAWGTTTGTTACCACTAAAAAGGAGCCATCTCACCCATCCTTACACTTTATCACTTAGGTCATACTAGCAGCAGCACTTGTTGGACCTGACATCACTGCTTAATCCAATGGGAAAATATCCACCAAAACCCCCATCCCATCCCATCCCATCCCATCCCATCCCATCCCATCCCATCCCATCCCATCCCATCCCATCCCATCCCATCCCATCCCATCCCCATGTCCAAAACTTCCACTTTAACCTGGGGATTCTTTAGCTGTTAGTTGTCTGAACCATCACAGAAGCTTTTCAGCATCACAGAAGGTTGAAAGAGAGTGCAGGGCTGCATAGCAAGAGGGTGAAAAGATAAAGACAAGTGAAAGGGCCTGGGATCTCCACTTCCAGGAGCAGTGAGGTTTGAAGGGCCTTCAACTGAGAGTTGAAGTGCTTTTCCCTGGGATCAGTTGCTCACTCTTCTTATGTTGTGCCTTGCAGAAAGTGTTCACATTGCAATGCTTCATTTCTGTGTATTTTTAATATAATTCATTCCTGTCCCTGGATTTCTTTTTGAGTTTTTTGCCATTTCTCGGAAGAAATCTTTCCCTRTGAGGKTGRTGATGCCCTGGCACAGGTTGCCCAGAGSAGCTGTGTCTGCTCCATCCCTGGAAGTGTCCAAGACCAAGTTGCTTGGGAGTTGGAGCAACCTGGTTTGGTGGAAAGTRTCCCTGCCCCTGCAGGGGGTGGAACGAGATGAGCTTGAAGGTTCTTTGCAACCCAAACCATTCCTTGATTCTGTGATTTCAATGGGARAAAGAGCATGCAGAGAAAGTCAGTGAAAAGCAGGTTCTGAGAATGCACTTCCCTCTGCCAGGGAGGAAGCCAGCTTATAGTAGTGCCTATAGTTGGCTGCTAGTTACATACTGCTTGCACAGGAGTCTTTAGGATATGGACAAGCAAATTCCCAAAGAGCTTACAGTTTTTCTCACAGTTGAACTGTGAGATAAATAGCTTGCCCCTCAGATATGTATGTCTGCATGCGTATAAACATTGTTTTAAATGAGCCAGTTTGTGACCTCTTTCTCATTGCTATTGGCAGAACACATTTTCTGTATTGTTTCACAAATGGCATCCAAAATACTTTGTGGTGACTAAGCATTGAGGAAGGCATTTCTTCCTTCATAAAGTTATTTTTATATATATGTATATATATGCATATGTATACACACACACACCCATGCACCCTTACATGTCTGTGATTTATTTACCAGTGACAGATGAGGATTGCTATAGGCATTATTAAAATAATGTGTGATTTCTTATTAGAGAAATTCTTTATAATGACAAATCCTTGGGTGCAAGCTCATACTGTCCATGTGTACATCCATGGAAACATAATTGTCTTAAAAACATGTCCATAAACCATGGAAACACAATTGTCTTAAAAATAAATGCCACAGTGTGTTYCTACTGAGTTTGTCATGACACAGCTGCAAAGGGGAGATTTTCCTTTAAGTGCTTTATCAAGATTCAGAATTGGCTTTGGCTTACTATTTGCTTCCACATTAAGTGGGGAATGGTTGTTTTATTCCTATACAGATGTAGTTCCTGGGCTTGAAAAGCCCCCTTTAAATTAGGATTTTTAAGAGTGGTTGAAGATAATTCTTCTGAGCATTTCCTCATGCTATAATTATTACTTGGGAATTTTAAACTGTTTTTGTCACATTATCCTTCTATTTGACATCAGAAACTGCTGCCCAGACAGTTCTACTATGAAACTAAACTTCTCATCTTTAGGCACCACACACCTTCTGGCCTGCACACAGCAAGAAATCCAAGCTTGTGTGTTAAAAATGCTGCAGGAGTCAAATTCACTGCGCGAGAGCTCATTCTAGTGTTGAGTACATAATATGTGTTTCTACAATTCGTGAATGGTATATACATTTCTTCAAGTTAGAATACCACTTATTAATTGGGGAAGTGATTCCAGAGATGAAGCTGYAGATACACATCAAGGAACTTCTCCCACAGTCTAATCCTTTTTATAACCATTTATTGTTTCTAAAGTTCTTTCAGTCAAAAAAAGTATTGAAAGTAAGGACTCTAAAACAATTGAAAAATTTTCTGTTTGTGRTTTATGCAGGCTCAGTATTAGCAAATGTGCAAAAAATATTTCTGCATAATTTTGTTGGAAAATATGATCTGGAATGGGTCCACATGAACGCAGTTTTTTAAAGAAATATTTCTTTGGTTTCTTTCCAGAGGAAGCTAAGAAACTCCAAGGACCAAATTTGTCTTTCTCCACATTTAAAACCATGAAAAAAATCTGKTTTGAAATCACGTTCTCCACATTTCAAACCATGAAAAAAATCTGGTTTGARRTCATGTATGTTACTGATGCTGCMAACCATCCCTCAGAGGTGTGAGAGCTGTTTATGAGCATCCTTGAAATCTTGGGAAAATCCTGGGGTCGGTCTAGGCATGGACTTTAWAGCCATTTGATCAGTTAAATTCCATGCCTTGAAGGGTGCAGCAGAAGCAGTGATTCCCCTTGGAATGGCTGCCCACATCCTGGCTGCCGGGGAGTAGTGGGGTTTAGGGGAGAAAACCCTGTGCCACCAGAGTAGTTGTGGCTAGACACTAGCCACGGTCTGCAGGTATTTTGGGTAGCCTTTAAGATCCCTTCCRACCCAAGCCTTTCTATGATCCTATTCCAGCACAGTTCTGCTCTAGAAGAGCAGGGTTGCACCATTAACATTATGAATGTGATATGTAAGGTTTATTATTTATTAATCATTTCTGTAATTCTCATGTTATCCAGTAATTTTCCCTAGCTYGGTGTAGGCTATTTGCATTCTTGATCCCACAAGTCTCTGAAAGTGAAAAATGAAAAATACACCATGCTTAATGATTTTTGTAGTWGCCAAGTTGTATATCAATTGCATTTTTTCACCAAGAAGAATAATTAAACATATTAAGACCTATCTCAATTTTACATGTTTTTACCACAACTATTTCTGTCTTTTTTGCTCCTGGCATTTCCAACAAAAGCAAACAGAAGGGAGAAATAACTCAGCATGTCATTCACTGAAATAACTTTTCRGGTTTGGGATTTTTTTTATAGTTTTAGGGTATTCAGAGCAACTGTGGTTGGTGTTGCACTGAGGAGGAAGGGATATCTTATGGTAGGAGCCCAGGAGGGGGAAGTGAGCCCAAGGTGTCTCAGAACTTTAGGCTTATACTTCAGAGATCATTTTTTTCAAAGCAGATCAGTTCTTGGGCTATATAAGCCAGGCAGCACCATGCAGATCACTGGTTTTGAGAGGGGAGGAGRAGTTTAGTTCATCATTGGTGGACATCATGCTTCTTATTTTCTGAAATTAATTTATTTGGGAATGAATGCAAAGAGATGTTTAGACTAAGACAGATAACAATGATTTCAGGGTTATGCCACTGAACTCCTGGAGACCAAGTGCACCCTATCAATCATGACCTCGTGTCTGCAGAGAAGACAAGAGACTGCACTTACGTTTGACAGTGCTGCGTGACTCCTGGAASCCAGCCGACTCTGAACCCCAGCCCAGGGCTTCACAGTCCTGCTCCTCCCCTTGCCCATGCCTGGCACTGGAGCTTGCACTCGCTCTGCTCCGCTCTGCCAGCCAGCACATCCTCCAGAGCCCCACGCTGCGCTTGCGCCCATCCTCCAGCGTCTGGTACACCCAGTTGGGGGTAAAGGCAGCTGCGTTGTTAAGGATGAGTGAGACCAGGGCTACCAACACAGCTGTGGCTACCAGTTTCTGGACAGTCATATCTGACTGTCAGCTTCCTGCCAGTCTCTAACTGCAGACGACACGAGGTCCCAGTCAGCTGCAACACATTGAAATTGGGCTGGGGACAGGCGGCTGCGCTGCGGTGTTACGGGGAGCTAGAGGACATCACCGTTCATTCTTGAAGTCAACTCCAGAGAGATTTCTGACCAARGAAATGAGAATTTTGTGAGGTAGATAGGAGAATTCCATAAAATAAGAACACAAAGAAGCTTTTTTAGGTCCTTCCCAGTGTTGACTTATCCTCCTTCTTGCACTTTGATAAGTAATGCAAGTCCCGTGGTGAACTGGATGACAGGGAGGTCCATTCCGTGTTGGACGGGGTGAATCCAGACAGAATCCAGTCTCGGGGCAGGCGAGCCTGAGCTGAGGTGGAGCAGAGACAGGATGGGATGCTCGCCGTAGCTTGATGAGCACTGGGTTCTCCAAGCCCACCAGAGCTGCTCCAAAAGCCTGGGTTTGAATGCAAACTTCAGAATATCCTGCAAACAGTGACAGATACCATCCTCTCAAAGCCAAGCCAARCCACAGGAGAATGCGGTCATCTCAAAGGTGATCAGCAAGTCTGGACTATCTCGAGGCGGTTGTTCTGCCGTGTCCCTCTCCGAAGAGCTGAGCTGTGAGTGCTGGGATGAGAACAGCCACTGCGGTGAGGAAAAGGCCCCCCCCACTCCCAGCCAAGAGGAAATGGCTGTTTTTGTGGCTCGTTTTGGTGAGCCTCAGGGCGTAGTCGACTGCAAAAAACAGAACCACTGCCACGGCAGTCAAACATTAACAGGATGTGTTTCCTGAAAGGAAAAGACTATGGAGATTTTTAGAGTTGTCCCTCCTCCCCTCGGAGAGCCCCCTCCCCGCTTCACGCCTCCTCCCGTCGCCGCTGCCCCCAGCAGGGCTGCCAGGACCCGCAGTGTCTCGGGGAGCCCGGGGAGCACAGCGGAGTTTTGCGAGAAAAGGAGAGAAGGAAATTCCAGTTTCAGCCCTCGGAGCATCAGCTCTGTGGAAGCGGATTGAGGAGAGGGATTTTGAAATAACCTTTTACTAGGAGCAAAACAATAWTGGGGTTCACTGCGGGACAGCATGACGAAAGCGCTGCCGGGGTGTCCTGATGTCCGTGTCCTCTCTGCATTGCTAGAGGAGGGACCGTGGCAGATAAATAGGAAGTATAAAATCTCGAGATGGTCAGCCCAACAACAGTTGTGGGTRTCTGCAAAGGCTGAGGCAAGTGTTGGGGTGTGAGTAAGGTTGGCAGTCACCGCACGGCGCCGATGCGGAGCTGGCACAGCCCGAGCCCGAGATCCCGGGTGCAGTCCCGGGAGCGCTGGCGGCTCGGCAGAGCCTGGCGGGAGCTGCCCACCCCTCGGTGCCAGGGCATGGCAGTGCTGCCGTGTGCTGACAGCCCAGTGCGGAATGCACTCGCACAGGGCAGGCAGGGGCTGCTCTGATGAACGGCTTAAAGAGAGTTGTTGAGGGCATTTCAAACTCTCTTTGAACCGGGCKGTTTGCAGAGCGGTCTTGCCCAGGCTGGCTCCCCAAAAGGCTGTTTGCTGTTGCCATTAGCTGCCTTGGCAGCACCGCGACGAGGACAGGGACTCTGGGGGTACTGCCTGGGTATGCCCTTCCTGAGCTGAACCTGGCAGAGTTCTTAAGGCTGCACAAATACCGCACGAGTGTAGCATTTTGTCGTACACGGTGAACTGAAGGCACARCATCCGCTCAGCACTAAGGAGAGCTGGCACAGACCTGTGTCATTGGGCACYGCCACACCTGAGAGGCTGGCAATACAATTAGATTAGAAACTGATATAATTTTATAGTGGCTTTTTCTTACCAGCTAAGAAGCTTTGCCCCTAACCAACCCGATACAGATCTGCCCTGACCCGATATACAGAGATAAAATGGTCTGAAAATTTTGGCAAATTTTATTTTCARGACTTGTTGATGAGAGAAGTGAGGAAAATTTCAGTAAAGCTGATATGCGCCTATAATTAGTTTTCAGCTACTGGAGTTGAATGTACTAASCTGGCTATGAACTCAACCCTCCTCTATGCACTCTGATAATTTTTAATCTTTAAACAAATTAAGCTTTAATTACTTTGAGCATCTTCAYCCCTTGAGAGCAATATAGCATCTTTGGTTTCTCTTTTTTCCTGTGATTGGTCATGTTTCTGTATGTTTCCGGGTTTAGAACTTTCAGTATAAACACACCAGTGCCTGCCATTCTTCAAAGAAATTTCCTATCAGCGATGACCATGTTTACATATTTTAAACCCCTTGGATTATTTGTTATTGTGGTCCTGTGTTTATTATAAGCCAGGGAATGAGGAGCAAGGCAGATGATGTTTATATAKAGATAACGTCAGGAGAGATTTACTTTTAGGGACAAGTCACACACCTAYTTCTGCTTCCCCACCCCTCCCCCTCCATTTGGTTTTTGTAATTTGATGAAGCCTGAGTGTGTATTTTCAGCAGGGCCCAAACTTTCTTCTCATGTAACTTTAAAAAAAATGCAATTACATTTTACAAAGGCTGAACAAATCACTCTAATCGTAGAATCATAAAGGTCGGGAAAGATCAAGTCCAACCATTCCCCTGGCCACAGATCCATGTCCCCAAATGCCACATCCACACAGCTTTTAAATCCTCYAGGGATGGTGATTCCACCACTGTTCAGGGCAGCCTGTGCCAATGCCTGACCACCCTTTCTATGAAGAAATTTTCCCTAATATCTAATTGAARCAGTATGGGAATCCTGATCCTTGATAAAAAACTGCCTTGATGAATGCTTCTCTGCTGGCAAACAGGCAGCAGGATATGCACTTGCAGCACTCACTGCATTCTGTGAGGCACAAGAGGTTTATGTCATGGACCAATCTCTTGGTGTTAGTTTCATGAAGGTAAGTTAAGAACAAAGTTGTGTATTCAGTGGGATAKTATAGATAATTCTGTAAAGCTGGTGGTTCTATATCGAGTGCTCTGGTTTTGCCAGGGAAGAGTTTTTAGGAGTAGCTTCATCAGCTTTCAGTGTTTGGATCGCAGATGAAAATTGCCTGACATTTCTCAGAGCAGCTCATACAATGTCATTCACACTGTCAAGAGTCTCATTGAACCGTTACAACTTTACATTTGTTACTTAGTTCCTTGTTGTCTTAGTCCCATGGAATGAYACAACCAGAGTCCCATAAGTGCATTTTAAAAGCATCAAACCTAATTTAGTTCTATCAVATAAATCTTAATTTTCTCAAGTCCTTAGAGTTTTCCAGTCTAGTGGAAGGTGTCCCTGCCCATGGCAGGGGYTTGTAACAAGATGATTTTGACTGTCCCTTCCTACCCAAACCATTCTGTGGTTCTATTATCTATAATACAACATACAACATAGGATGCAATAATAATTTGTTATATAATGTTTATATTATAGGGTCCATTCAACAAAGTGGGGCCCAAATTGAAAAGACAGTTGTTTTTTTTTACCCTGATCCTGGTCAGTGTTCATTTTCCAAATACAGCCCATTAAATACAGGGAGAAAAGGTTTTTCGGTGAGATGCTTCAGACATATAAATCTCCAGCACTTCTAAACAATATTCCATTTTTTTTCTTTAAACTTCCATGCTAAATAGGCAATGAAAAAATACATGGGAACAGAAGAGTTTGTGAGATCAACTGTGGATGCTATAAATAAAGTTCCAGAAAAACAGATATGAAAGGTCTGATACAAAGCAAGGAAACTTTCATCAAATATGTTGTAAAATTTGTGTCCACTCAAGATGTGTCAACATTTGCTTCCCAGATCTGTGGCACGGTGGCCTGGAGCCTGGGGAGCCTGGGATGCAGCAGGGGATGGTGTRTCCCTGTGCCTGGTGGGGTGCTTGGGGCTCCTGGAGTGTTTGGGATGCCTTCCCATGGCTCTGCTCCCACTGCTGCTGCACCTGGGCTTCATTGAGTTTCCAGCTTCGGCTGAGGAAGTACAGATGTGAGAAGCTTTCYGGGGGGATAAAAGGAGGAGGAGGGGAAGAACAGAAAATTTCCAGAGCCAGAGTTGAGGGCAGGGAGAGCCATCACTTGGCATTTCATATGGACAGTTAAGGCCAGGCCTGGAAAGGAGAGTTCTCCCTTTTAGGGATGCATAGACAGATCCATCTTTCTTGTTACCCTAGCAGCTGTTGGGAGATAAACTGTGGTTTTTCCAGGGATTTAAGTGAATCTGTTTTGCAGCTCCTGTTTCTTGTTACTTCACCAGACCAACATCCATCTGCTCATAAAACTTGCCCTGGTGCTGGAGGAGTGTGTCTGCCAGAGGTTGTGAATCTCATGGCTGAGGTTGGTCTTGGAACACAGAGACACATATGGAAGTACATTGTGAATGCTCCCAGATCCCCTTCCWTCCTCTTCCCTACCCATTCTTCTCCATGTACCTTATCAGAGCACCCTCCCTCTTGTGAAGGATGTGTCCACTGGAGAGAACCAGCCTCTGCTGCAGCTCCATTGAGACCTTGCCCTGTGTAGCTGTTAACCAAACCCTGTGAGGCATGGGAACTCCTCTGGGCACAGCAAGGCTGGGTTCCTTAGGTGAAATGCTCCTTCAGATGCTTCTGTAGGGCAGAAGTAGAAGGAATACTCAGAGGGAGTCAGTGGTCTCACATGCCATAGGTTCTTGTGCTGGTGAGCTGCTCTGATCATGTCAGAATCTTATAATCATGRAATGGTTTGGTTTGGAAGGAACCTTAAGGACCATCTAGTGCCAACTCTGCAATGGCCAGGGACACCTTTCTTAGGTGTCCCTCTTATCTTTTGCTGTTGTCTCTGTGCTGAGTGAGTCCATGCATGCTCTGCTTGGACTCATTTGGAGTGAGCACTCCTAAATTCAGTGTCTTTGGTGCAGTTCGAGCCKGGTGTACTCACCCCCTGCCCCGCTGGGGTGGCAGAATGCAGAGACTGCCAGAATAAAAACAACTGCAGAGCACATGAATTGCAGATGTTTCTATCTCCGAGTTTGTTGCTGCCCCCAGCATACCCATGGCCAGAACCTCTCAGGTTCATTTTGCCARTGGTTTGGAGTGGAGGAGAAAAGTGGGATGGCAAATCTCCAGTGCCTCACRACAGAGGTATCTGGGTGACCAGGTGGCCCACAGGCAGGTGCATGGAGGGCAAGAGCTACCAAAGAGGAGTCATAGGGGCAGGAGCTCTGGCTGAATTTTTACATTGGCAGGAGTTGTTGCCATCCAGGAAAGCATAATGCAGCTGAGAGATGATGAGCAACGTCTCTTAAGTCCTGCTCTCTGCACACTGTTATCTTTTAACTTTGTACTTTAAAATACACTGTGTAGTCTGTTTCCTCTCAAAAGTTTCCACTCCCTGTAGTCTAAATAAGAATTCTCATCCGCTCGCTTGTTCAAGCCCATGAACTCTCATCTTCCTGCACAGAGGGACTTGAGAGCTGCCAGAGCTCTGAAAAATGAAGCTGCTGATTTCCTTTCAGAAACTCGCTGTTAGTCAGCTTGACAAAGCCCAGCACAGATGTGTGTTCCTTCACCCAGAACCAAGTGGCTGTTGGCAGCTTCTTCTGGCACATGGCAGAGCTTGGAAAATGTACTTCCCCTCATGTGCTGTGAAGCACAGCTGTGCCCAGGCATGGCCTGTGCAGCTTTTACTAAGGACAGAACTCACTGGCTGTGKTGGTCAAAGCCAGGTGAACATAACTAACACCATGTTAATCATCAGTGTTCTTTAAAGGTGTTTTTCCCACATTTCCCAATTCCAGATACAGAATAGTGTCTGGAATRAAAGAGAAACCAGCTCCAACTTTTYAGAAATTAGGAAATTGATCTGCTGACACAAGGCAGCATTTTTGTATTGAGTGGTGATGCACAGAAAGCATCTAGCATGGGTTTCTGTCAGGCCCTTCCAGGTCTGAAATTATCATGCTTTATTTCATTGTTCCTTTTGGCTCCCATATGGGCACCTTGGATATATGGGAGAAGAGCATGAGGAAGCTGTGTTTGAACACCACTTGGTTCTAAGAAAGGCAGCACTCAGACATGCATTTTTGCTTTTCTAACCCAGAAACACCTCTGATCTAAAATTTGTCCCTGATTTATCACTTCTATGCCTTTTTTATTTTCTCTATACTGTTTGTCCTCAGTGAAGTCTATGTCACTTACTACCTGAAACCTTTATCTGGGTTGCACTGCAAATAAAAGATGCTGTAATTCTAAAGTAAATTATGCAAACAATTTTTCCTGTGCCTTTCCTTAGTGTATGTGTTGGAGAGCACGTTGTGGTTCACCTGTTTCGCTGCTTCCCAGTTTGTCCCTTTCTGCCATTTCCTCTGTGCAGGGCTTTTCCACTGCCACTGGAAACAGAAAAACATTTTAATCCTAGGAAAACTGGAAGGGAATTTGGTGGTGGGACTTGAAGTGTCATTCTATTMTATTATTCTTGTTTTCCTGCTTTTGTAATTTAGATCTTTACTTTGTGCTGTTGGTGCCTGAGAACTGCACAGACTGTACCTCTGCTGAGGGTGACACTGTAAAAACCTTGTTTTGAGTGCTCATGGTTTTTATTAGCCAAATATATTGATTTAAATTCAATGTGAATGGAATCTGTGAAATTCTTGGCTTGTCCCACTCTGTGATGGTCAGTTGTGYTGTAGTCCTCTGAGCAATTCTGCTAGTTATTCCAGCTGGAGCATGGTCCTCAGCCTATCCTGCCTTGCCTGGACAGGGGACTTTGCAGTGTTCACTGCGAGCTCATAGCCCTGAGGAGTTCTCATTCTGAGCATCACAAAGCTTTTCTTTTTGCCAGTTTTATGCAAGTTTTAAATTAGAACATGGTTGGTTGGTAATTTGTTTCTTACGCATCTTTCCCTATTAGTGGATACAACAGTGGAGCTCCCAATAGCTGTTTAACTACTCCAGACTTCTAGTGTGAGGTTAAGACTTTTCTCATAATTTTAATTTTGATTTTGGAACATCAGCATTGAAGTATTGTGACTGTCTATARGTTGCAACTATGGCAGGAACCACAGTGATRGGCACGTGATAAATGTTTATATACATGCAAACATGGAATCACTGACTGGCTTGGGTTGGAYGGGACTTTAAAGACCATCTMCTTCTGCCCATCCCTGCTGTGGGCAGGGACACCTCCCACTATCCCAGGTTGCTCCAAGCCCTGTCCAGCCTGGCCTTGGACACTTGCAGGGCTGGGGCAGCCACAGCTTCTCTGGGCACCCTGTGCCAGGGCCTCACCAATCTCTTAGGGAAGTATTTTTTCCTAATACCAATCTAAATTTCCCCTTTTTCAATTTAAAACCACTCCCCCTTGTCCTGTCACTCCAGACYCTTGTCCTAAGTCCCTCTCCAGCTCTCCTGGAGCCCCTTAAGTTTTCCTCAGAGCCTTCTCTTCTCCAGGCWGAACACCCCCAGCTGTCTCAGCCTGTCTCCAGAGCAGAGTTGTAACTGTAATCCCACAATATTTCCTTAAGGTTGGGGCCATTCAGCTCAAGAACTGACTGGTGTGTGAGTCTGCTTCTGTTCATCTTCAGTATTCACACACAACTGGAGTCTCTGTTACACTCACCCYATTCCCAAAATACTGATGGTTACTCCTTTCACACTCACTGTCCTTGCACCTCACCTGCCTTCTAGGTGACACTATAATGGCTCTCCTTTTCTTTCCCATTTCCTGCAGTGAGGCGGTCTGGGAGAACATGGCTCGCATGTGYGTGAAGACTCAGAGACTAGATGTTGCCAGAATTTGCCTGGGGCACATGGGTCATGCAAGAGGAGCCAAGGCACTGCGGGAGGCTGAACAAGAGCCAGAGCAGGAGGCCAGGGTGGCTATGCTGGCCATCCAGCTGGGCATGCTGGTAAATCCCACAGCCAAGCTGTGAAGAGTTTATATCAGACTGTGGAAAATTACTGAGTGAAAGAAAATGCTGACTGAAGGAAACATCTTTTAAAGATGTTTTATGTGTGAAACWTTTAACAAAAACCTGCTTTGTTGGGGCATAAGCTTCTTCCAAGCTTAATCATTCTAGGTTTCACTGGATTAGAAAAAGGCTGTATTTTATTATAGTTAAAATGTTTCAACAAACATATTTTAAGGTCTGATATGGGAAACAAAAATTCTATTTTGACATGATTTGCTTCTAGAGTGAAAGGCTAGAGCTGTCTGCTGCCACAGAGTGAGGGTTGGCCTGAGGTTGTTGACAGAGTTTAGGCAAAATAGACTTTTCCTRCAGGGCTGGAGAGCTCTGGTCAGTCACATTCACTGCCTGTGCTGTCCCAGGGATGCCTGGTCACCCAGATTTCTATCCCAGCTTCTCCCACTGTGTGAGCAGGAACTTGGCTGGATGCAGCTCAGCCAGAGGACAAGGTCTGGCTGTTCCTTAGAGTTGGTGTGTGTAACAACTGTCTCTCGTTCCTCCATCTGGAGCCCAACCTGGCAGCAAACACACTCCAAGTGGACCTTGCATCTATGTCTGACTTCATTCTCCTTGATTGCCAGTAGGAACTGAGGTCTAAGCTGGGTTAAAGACCAGCATTGTTACGTGGATTGAAAATTGACTGGTGCTACTKAGTGTGTGTATTCCACTCATTTAATGTCTTYATCRATGATCCTTAAGAAAACCAGAAATTTTTAGTTTGGGACCCATGAGAAATCCAGGCATATGATCCGTCAGAGGGAAAAACTGGGAAAGAATTTATGAAATAACCCACAGTCTACAGGAAATACTAAATTAGATAAAAAGTAGCAAGATGCTGTGACAGCAAAAATAAGTTTGAGGCCATGTTTAAGGAGACGCCGCATCATGGRGCCTGGATTTGGTAACTCCTGTCTGCATTCAAGGCAGCTACAGCTGGAATGATGACTTCTACCCTTTAAATAGCTCATTACCAGAAAAAATGTTGMTGAACTGGAAAAAGTTCAGAGAAAATCAGTGCAAATTGTTCAACTCTTGGAAGGACTTCGCAGACAAAGAAATCTTGAAAATGGCCAAATAATTAGAATTTGGCTTGAAAAGGTCATTTGCAATCTACAGTTATTTGATGAGTATGAGAGAGAGAGACAGAGAGACAAAAAGTAACTATTCTCAGTTAAGGAAGAAAAGAAAATTCAAACTAAATGTTTGTAAAGGCTTACTGGCAGAGAAAGGCATGAGGCTGAAAAGTGTCAGTGCTTTTTCTCTTGGATATTTAGATCTGTTTGTAGAGRTGGAAAGAAACTATAGCAAAACAAATGGAGTTCTACTGCTTTTTTCCATCTCACAGAATCCTAGGGCAGGCATCTTCCTTTYCCACTTTCTATGCTTTTTTAAATTTGAAACAATAAGAGACAGAAACTATTTTTCTGTCTTGGACAGATAATCTCAATTTACTAAATATAGTGTTCAGCTGGACAGCAGTAGGGTGGAGCAGGAAAATGCTCCTTCCACGGGAGTTAGTATCTCTCAGAGCATAAAAATAATAGTTCCAAATTTGCTGCCCTTGCGTCAGCCTCGGCAAAACCCTCCTGTTCTAATTCTGTAATAAAATAAAATAATAGCATTTATTCTCAGGAATGGAGCTCAGTTGTCCACAAACAGCATCACTGCCTCTGAGACCTGCTGGGAGGTCACAGGGGTTACCTGGCTTGGAGCACCTTAATYCCCAAACCCTGAATGCCAGGACCTTCTCCTAAGCCTCACTCTTGGGTGGGCAGTAGCTATATCCCCACCTAAACATGTTCCCATTTTGGTGATTCACAGTCCTGATGACAGCATTTGATCACYGATGACTTGCTCATGCCACCCCCCTCCCTCCCAGTCAATCCTGTACAATAAATGTCAGGATCTGAGTGCTTTCCTTATTTTTCATAAACATCCTGTTTCCCAATAATGTGCTATTCCAGTCTACATGTATTGACTGAACKGTTGTTGCTTTAATTGCATTGCAATGCCCTGCACTAATAAACTGCTCCGAGGTGCAGTGCCTGGCATGACTTACATGAAGTGCAGTYGGGACTGACAGGTATTTTGGGTGTTCCAGGAGGATGCAGAGCGGCTWTACAAGGCTTCCAAACGGTATGACCTCCTGAACAAGTTATACCAGGCCTCCAACCAGTGGCAGAAAGCCATTGAAACRGCCGAGGCTCACGACCGCGTTCACCTGCGCAGCACCTACTACAACTACGCCAAGYACCTGGAGGCAACTGGGCAGCAGAGCCTGGCACTCACCCAGTAAGCACCAGCTGGGGCTGTCTGGGGTACTGGGAGCCTCCTTCTCCTGTGGATATGGGCAAAGGAGGATGTTTGATGATGACCAGTAAAAATCAATTCAAGTCATTTCCTGTTTCTGGTGCCTTCTATCTCACAGAGTGWAAGCATTCCCAGTGAAACCTCCCAGAACCCTCTCATGCAAATAATGTATAGTGTTGAAAAGGTGAAGAGTCTGTCAGGGCCAGTAGCTAAACCCCACTCATATCATCCAATCCTGTGTTTGTCTCTGAAAAATCACTGCCATGTTTTCCTTCCTTTACCATGACAAAACCATTTATTTGCTTTTCCTAGCAAAAAAAGGAAAGGCTCTCTTTTCCTGAGAGCCCCAGACACAACTGCTGGAGCAGAATCTAGTTGGACTTGGTTGCTTCTGGTATCTGGTCCTCTCCTGTGACCGCTGAGTCCCATGGGGAGTTAGGGGAGCATCATTTTGTTGTCTCRTATTTCTTGTTTCAGATCTTGTTTTTTTTATGAGTTTTCCAATGTGAAAGTTCCCATCACCATCATTCAATAAGGCCAGTTCTGTTCAGAATCAAAGCAGAGTTCTGCTGTGCTCAGGAAAACCCTCTGATGGCCATGGTGGGCAGTGGGGTGGGGAGAGGTGGATGCTGGGGTAAGGGCAGTGATCTCCCAGCAGTGGCAGAGGCTGATGTTGCAGTGGGTGACACAATGTGGATCTTGGGGCTTTCATGAACTGTTCAGCCAGCTGTTTGATGCTTGGGGAACTTCCTGGAATACTTCTTTGGGCCATCACTAGCACTTTTAAAGCATTTCCTGTGCTGTCAAGATCACACCTCCCTTATTCCAAGTGCCTGGCAGTACCATTGAACTTTTATATTTTGATGGTGCTGGTGGACTGCAACTGGTCTTACAATGAACTTACTTACACAACTAAAGCAGTTGTTGCCAGTGTTGTCAGATGATGGCTGGCAAACAAGACTTAAATGGATGTTTTACACAGAAAGTGAGCTAATAAGGAGGCTGTCATTTYACATCTGTTCTTCTCTACAGGTATGAGAAGTCAGACACACACAGGTTCGAGGTACCTCGAATGCTCTCTGAAGACTTACAAGCCCTGGAGAATTATGTCAACAAAATGAAAGACAAGTCAGTGCTAAGCTTGTTCCTTCTACATGGGGCTGTCAGGTCTGAAATRCAACTCTTGATGAGAGCGAGGATGAAGGAGTGTGAATCCTCTCAGTCTCATTCAACCCCTGCCTTATCCACTGTGACCCTCCCACAGCTTTTCAGGTTTATGCTGCACTTGCTCAAGAACTGCCACACTGGTTATCCAGGCTAACCTCCTGTGTAGTGCAGACCTTACAATTGTGACACTTGGGTTGGGGTAAAAGCATATGTTCTAAAAAATRCATCCAGTCTTTAGTTCAAGCTCTCTAGGAGTGAAAAAAGCCTCTGGCAGCTTTTTTTTTTCTGAAGTTAATATACTGTTGCTTTTCCAGGAGCCTGTGGAAGTGGTGGGCACAGTACTTGGAGAGCCAGTCAGACATGGAATCTGCACTAAAATACTACACACTGGCTGAGGATTATTTTTCCCTAGTCCGTGTCCATTGCTTTCAAGGCAATATTCAGAAGGTAAGGCAGACTTCTTCCATCTGCTTCCAGAGTTCTCATTCCTGGGAGGAGCATGGGCATGAAGTAAAGCTATATAATCCCCCTGCAGGCATCTGAAATAGCAAATGAAACGGGGAATGGGGCAGCCTCCTATCACCTGGCGCGCCAATACGAGAGCCAGGACGACATCAAGCAGGCCGTGCACTTCTACAGCCGAGCCCAGGCATTCAACAACGCCATCCGCCTGTGCAAGGTACGCAGCGAGCCCGGACTGTGCCCTTGGCAGCAACCGGCAAAGTGCTGCAAGGAGTTCGTGCCTGTTCTCTCCCATCACACACTGCCTGCTCACGGGCAGCCCATGATGAAGCTGCTTCTGGTTTCTGCTGATGTCTTCTACTAAAGGTGGATCAATAAAGCCTTGRTGGTTTGGAACAGTATTTTCTTGAACAGATAATCAGAAAGTMCCTGAAAGAAATAATCATAATTGAAGCTGAAAGTCACTTGGGTTGTAGAGGTTTTACTCAGAAAGGGGTGACATTTTAATAATGTGTGACAATATAAAGCCACAGCCTTGCCAGCAGTTTGAATTAATAAAATTTGTGTGTGCAGACCCAGAGCCAAACCTTTGCTTTTGAACAGGTGAATAATTTAGATGATCAGCTGATGAACCTGGCTCTCCTGAGCTCACCAGAAGACATGATAGAGGCAGCCTGCTACTATGAGGAAAAGGGGGATCAAATGGACAGAGCTGTTATGTTATAYCACAAGGTAAATATCTTTTAGTAGAAACTCTTGAGCTTTACACTGAAGCAGTTCCTAATGCAGAGGAATGTTTAATCAGCTGTGGTTCTTACCATGTCCTGTTTATTAGTCATTTATTCGTGGTGGGTAATGCTTTATTTAAGCCACTCYAGGACATCCTGTGAACTGTCTCTGTAGTGCTCATTTTAGTCTTTGAAGCCTCATTCCAAATTTTGCAGGCAGGACACTTCTCCAAGGCYCTGGAGCTGGCCTTTGCCACACAGCAGTTTGGGGCCCTACAGCTCATTGCTGAGGATCTGGATGAGAAGTCTGATCCGGCCCTGCTCGCCCGCTGCTCTGGGTTCTTCATCAAACATGCTCAGTATGAGAAGGCAATGAAGCTGCTGCTTACGGCCAAGAAGGTGAGCTGAGCCTTCTGGTAACCTTTGCACAGATAGAGGAGCACAACAGGTGTGTACCTGCACACAGCCATTCATCTGTGCAGTAAACAAATACAAGAGACATTTGGAAAGTTTCAAGATTCCTGTTAAGCCACTGATTCAGGGGCACTGCAGCTCTGTCTTGCCGAAATGCTGGGTRCCAGACCAGCCCTGTGCTCACTCCTCTTTAACAATCTCCTGTGGCTCGYTTTCTTCTATGTATTGTAAGGTGCAGTAGCCCTTTTCTGGACTAAAAACTTTTGTATAGCCTACTCAGAAGTAGTTCTTATGTGTGAAGTACCAAAATATTTAACAAAATCTTCCAATGTATTTATATGTGCTGAAAAGTTTATCATCAGTCAAGCCTACCAAGTCTGACTTGCATGTCTCTGAAAATCTCATGTTCATAGTCAAAATTGCTGAATCTTTAGTGGCACACTTGTGTGAGAACAATGCTGTCATGGAAGAACAAACACATTCTTAACAAATTAAATGGGACAGTGTGTGTCTGAATAGGGGCTGATGTCAAGACACCTAACTACACTCCAGTGTTCCAGAGCATCCTCAACTGCTCGTGTTTGTAGCTGATTTCTGTGGGTTACACCACAAGCAATGTGAGGTATCACAATAATGTTTGCAACATCTCATTGCTCTCTTGCTCCCATCAGTACCATGAAGCTCTGCAACTCTGCCTGGAGAAGAACCTGATCATCACCGAGGAGCTGGCCGAGCAGATGACAGTCTCCAAGGAGTCCCAGGATCTCTCTGAGGAGTCTCGGAGGGAGCTGCTGGAGCAAATTGCTGACTGCTGTATGAGACAAGGCAACTACCACATGGCGACCAAGAAATACACACAAGCAGGAAACAAGTTAAAGGTCAGCCTGGATAGCCTCAAAACCAGGGTGTTTTGAAAAGTAAACTTTGAAACAGACTTCCTACAGTAACCACCCAGATGAAACTTTGGAGCCATCTTGATGATGTTTTTGCATTCACAGTATTTTSCCTCTCCCCCTGTGCCTCCCTTTCCCTTGCCAGGCTATGAGGGCATTGCTGAAGTCTGGAGATACTGAGAAAATTATCTTCTTTGCGAGTGTTTGCAGACAGAGAGAGATTTATATAATGGCAGCCAACTACCTGCAGTCACTGGATTGGTGTAAGGATCCAAAGATTATTGCAAATATCATCAACTTCTACACCAAAGGAGGGGCCCTKGACCGCCTGGCCGGTTTCTATGATGCATGTGCTCAGGTAACGCCCTTCATGTGACTGCTGAAGGCATTTGGTTTACTGGCTCTGGAGCAAGACCATCTCTTTTCTCCTCTTGCAGGTAGAAATTGATGAGTATCAGAACTATGAAAAAGCCCACAGAGCACTGACAGAAGCATACAAGTGCCTTTCCAAAGCAAAGGCCAGAAGCCCTGTGGAACAGGAAAGCAAACTTGGCCACCTGCAGAGCAGGATGAGTCTGATGAAGCGGTTCATCCATGCTCAGAGGTAAGCTGCAGCATGGAGAGCACAGAAACTAAGTGACAGAAATATCACACCAGAACAGCAGTTGTAACAGCACCTGTAGTTTAACAAATAACTTGCAGATTGCTGGGAAAAAAAAAAAAAAAATAGTTTAACAAATAACTTGCAGATTGCTGGGAAAAAAAAAAAAAAAGCTGCTGGTACATTTTTCTAGCAGGGAAACCATAATGTGATTTTTTAAAGTGCCACTGCATTAAAGATGGAAAGGTAACCTGAAAGAGAAGCATATAGAACAAGGGAGGCATAGCCAGAAAGGTGATTATCATAAAATCACAATCACACACTGGTTTGGGTGGGAAGGGACCTTAAATCTCATCCAATTTTACCCTCTGCCATGGGCAGGGACACCTTTAGGGCCTTGAGCATTTCCAGGGATGGGGGAGCCACAGCTTCTCTGGGCACCTTGTGCCAGGGCCTCCCCCACCCTCACAGGGAGCAATTCCTTYCCAGGATCCCCTCTCTCTCTGCCCTCTGGCATTGGGAAGCCATTTCTCCATGTCCCAAGTCCCTCTCCAGCTCTCCTGGAGTCCCTTTAGGCCCTGGAAGGGCCTCTGAGGCCTTCCTGTAGCCTTCTTTTCTGCAGCTGAGCACTGCCAGCTCTCCCAGTCTGGCTCTGGAGGGGCTCCAGCCCTTGGAGCATCTCCATGGTCTCCTCTGGACTCTCTCCAGCAGCTGCATGTCCTGCCTGTGCTGGGACCCCAGCTGCCCCRGGGCTGGGGCAGCTCTGCAGGTGGGTTTCACCTGAGCAGAGCAGAGGGGCAGAATCCTCTCCGGCTGGCCACACTGGGGAATCAGCCCCAGAAAAAGGGGGCGGTTCTGGGTTTTGTTTGGGCTTCTGTCATGAAACCTCATGCAGTAAAAGCTCTTCCCTTTCCTTGGCCTGACAAACTGACTGTTCTCCCTGGGCTATCACAGTTCACTTTTGCCCTTTCCTAGACTTTACCCTGAAGACACTGAAGAAGCAGTCAGGCAGTGTGAACTGCTCCTGGCTGAACAAAACTTTGATGATGCGCTCCGGCATGGCGATGTCCTGGGATTTTTGGTTCAGCATTATGCACAAGTGGAGGAATTCCATACAGTAAGTGAAGTCTTAATTTTTCCAACCTACAGAACCCATATTGTACACCTGTGCAGCTTGGTGTACCATGGCTCTCACAAAGGAATATATTCCATGGTAGGAGCCTAACTGCACAGCAGAGTGAGGCACAGCTCAGGAACTATATCCATATGTTTCATTGTACGCTCAGGGCACAGAGCRTACATGGTTGTGTATTCTTAAGCATTCCCACTGATTTGATGAGGACAGAGGTCTGTCTGGGTGCGTGCCTCAGCAATGCCACCATGCTATGTTTGCCAYCTGCCCAGAGAAGAAAACTGTAAAATTATAAGTACTTGAGGAAATGGTGAATTGCTCCTTCAGGGCAGATGTGCCAAACAGSCCCTGGCCTGATACTCTGATGAAACATGAGGGTGCCAAGTATGAGTTTCTCCAGCTGATATGCTAATGAACTTCACTTTTAATGTGCAAAGCACAATAAATGCTTTACTGGGGCTCCTGTAGCAGTGCAACCCTCTGACAGTRATCTCTGCATTCCTTTAGGCTTATCGCTACCTGGAAGAGATGCAGAAAAGAATTCCAGCCTCAAACATGAGCTACTACGTGTGCCCACAGACTCTGGAGGCCGTGCACCAAGGTGCTGGCATTCCCATGAGCCGAGCCCTGGCCCCAGSGCACACTGGCCACAGCAGCACGGACAACAGGGAGGAGGAAGAAGTGGCTGATGAAGTGGAGGACCCCTGACAATGAATACTTATCAAATGCAAAGCGGACTTTAATGCCAGCTCATTTATTCTGTCCTCATGAGGGGGTCCAGACCAGTCATATGATATTGTCACACAGTCTTTTATTACCAAGAAATTTATTTTTCCTGCTTGGCTGCACAAGTGACAGTATTTGAGTTAAAACATTCTCTCAAGCACAGCATACAGATTCATATGTAAGTCCTGTTAGAAATCTGATTTTAGTATTTTAATAAATTTTMGGCAGAAAAAAATCAGTAAGAACTGCATATTGTAACTTCACTTTCTTCTCAGTACAGAGAAGAGCTGAATAACTGAGGTGGAAACTGTGAGTTGCCTTTCAAGTACAACTTTGATCTGCTAAGGTGCAGATTCCTTAGAATCTGACCTTCTGAAAACAATCTCCATCCTATTTAGGTAGAAACTTGGTTAAAAGTCAAACTACCCCCTCCTTACAGGCTGAAGGCAGACCTTCCCCAACACAAGCTTCTGTGTTCAAATACATCAGAGAGATCATGTGGTGTAGAGCAACCCTTACAGACATCTGGGCTCTAAACCTGAGAGTCACAGAATGCCTGGCTTGGAAGGGACCCTGTATGCCTCCTGTATGCCCCCTGGTCCAACCCCTGCTCAAGCTGGCTCACTCTGAACAAGTGAAGCTTCTTTCTGGAGAAGGAGCTTCACATTAAAACACCAGTTACATCAAGCCACTCTGTAYTAGCCAGATTTTTGGAAGCAAATTCATTCGCTGGGACAAGCAGGACTCAAAGAAGTGAAGCTTAATGTTAACAACCAAGGTTCTGCTCACCTTTCTGCCTGTCCAATTTCTTACCAACYAGCCCTTATACTTAAAATTATTTTTCTTTTTCATGTTTTGTGACTTGCTTCAAAACTTGGGGTGAACTTGAGGTTTCTGAATTGTTTTCAGGAAAGAAGAGTTCGGAGATTTTAAGGTCAAAATCTAAAGATTATTTATTCTTTAATAGAAACTTACTTCTGTACTAGGATTACACAAAAAGAATTCCCTGCTTTATTACTTACTAACCACAGCCCAGCTCTAGCTCAGACCTTTAAGGTTTGACACATTATCAGCTCTTCAGCATAGCTATCCAGTGTTGGCATCCCATCAGCAGTGCATTTCCTGCACCATGCCACCTCTTCCAGCAGCAGACCAACAGCTGCTCCCCCCAACTCCAGCTGYTCAGGAACATGGGAGCCTTTGTAAGGGGTGGGTTACAGTGGCAAGTGGCACTCCCCAACCCTCCTGTTTTTCTGACAAGAAGGGTCTGTGAGATCTTCTCTGTATTTTTAGCCAAGCACTCAGGCCTGCCAAGGTTATAAATAGCAAGGGTGGGGGCTGGGGGTGGGGAGGATGGCAGTGCTCGCCTACCTTCCTGCATCTGTACACGCTGTACCGGATACCCAGAGCTTGCTCAATTGGCCTCCACTACAAAGTGCAGATGTCAAGTCAGGCTTGCTGGCTTACAGCTCAGCACCCTTCCCCCCTCTTCCTCTCCTCCAGCCAGGTGACTGCTGAAGAGGCCCCAGGAGTGCCCGAACACATCCAGCTGGCAAGAGCACAAGGTAAAGGTCATTTTTGTTACCCTTCAGTTAGGAAGGGATAGCTTCAAGTTTCTTTTTCAGGTTCTCCATTAGCAGTAAGTTCTGCATGGCCAGCCTTCTGCAGTCCCCATCAGGGTCTTTCTCCACCACATCTGTAAAAGAAGCAGCCACTGTTAATTGGAGAATGGGAAAATGTGCCCTTAACACTTCTCACTGTTTTTACTAACAATCACAGAACTAAGCAATGGCGTTTGCACCTAYGGCTGGTCTGGACATCAGCACTCGCAGGAACTGCATTAAGCCAGAAGGCAGAAGAGATGCACAAACTTGATCATGTAAAGCAGCACGAGTTCAGCCAAGCCCTAACTGCCACATGAGGTAGTGCTCCAGTCAGTCTTGTAGGAGAAACAAATAGTCAATTAGTTTGAAACACTACAGAAACTGTCTGACCTTGGATTCCATGGGATAATTTCCATGCCAGAATTTGTACTTGAGCCCTTGACCAACACAAAAGCTTTGTACAACTGAGCTACAAGCATGAATGCAGTTTGCAGCTAGAAATCCMCTTTCTCCAAAGTCTAAAGTCTCCACTCTAGTATTCCTGCAATTAAAAATAGTGCTCCCTCCCGAGTTTGGTGTCACGATGTCTTTCCAATGGGGAGAGAAAGAGACAGGTCCCAAGGTTCAGTACATTCTCATTCTGAGAGACCAATCTTCTGATAAACGAGTTCCACACTTTACGCTGCACCTAAGGGTGGTGTGAGGCTATTCCCAGCAACTGTTATTCCAGGAGCCCTTAATGGRCTTGCAAAGTAACAACCAGGATGCACGCAGGATGTCTGAGCAGGGGAGCCTGGAAGAGCAGGGAGTCTGTATGAGGATATCCTGTACGCACGAACAGTGTGCTGGGAGCCCAGCACTGTCAGCCCAAACACATGACTCATGTCAGTGGAGTAGGGCTATTTATAATGCACGGAGAGTTGCACCCTGCTGCTTCCATACTCCCTCTGCACAACACAAAAGGGGAGGTTACAAGGCATATTGGAATAAGCTCAAAAGCTCAGAGTGCTGTTGGTGCTGTTTCTGTTCCATAAGGATGGASCTGGCACTGCTGGCACTGCATGGGAGGCACAGGGCACTGGAGTGTCCTGTTGGTCCTGACACAAACCACACTTGCAAGGGATGGGGAATTCCCTCAAAGGCAGCTGCTGAGGAATCAAAGGGACCATTTCCTAGAAGGGTTCAGGTATTCCCTCCCTCCCCTGGGAAGGATCAGGCTGTTTAACAGCAAGTCCAGCATGGCAACTAAGGGCAATGACGGACAAGTCCAAAGTGGATTCTCACCTCTCCCCAGCTGAAATGTCCCAAACCATCCAGTAAACAAACAATGCCAGGGTTGCAGCCTGAARTTGAAGGGCAGCCAGTCAATCATAGGACACACTACAGCAGTTTGTGGAGATCCCGATGTAACAACAAACTGGAGGAGGTTTCTGGATTTCTACTGATCACTTTGTGTGTAACACTTCCTATCCCACTACTCCTCACTGTGCTTTGACCATGGCAGGAGAAACACAGATGCTGTAAGCTGAAACCCCGTGTGGCTAAAAGGCACAGCAGTGAAGGTCCCATGTCATTCCCAGCTACAGCACTGCTARTACATTACATTTCTTGCAAATCTTGTCTGGAAGAGTCATGAACCAACAGCAAGTCCATGAGCTCAGACCTGTGATTAAGTCACAGAAGCAGGTCTCTAGTGTCAGAYTTGACCTGTTGGAGCAGTAGGGAGGGCCCAGTGCCTCCCTGTGCAGCCATTACAACAAACAGCAAAGGCACAGCCCAAGAAGCTGGTGTATTTCAGGAAGCAGCTTTAGAAGCACTTTAAATTGCATCTGACCATATGTGGAGCTGAGTTCAATTCTTTAAGGCTTCAGAACGACTCCTACTGCAGTTTTCCTTTCTCTGTTATACCCACAACAGTTATCTTACCCTGCTTCCATTCCCACCAGGACCAAACATGCAGCTTTCATGCAAAAGCACTAGATGTAAAGAAAGGCCTATTACACTACCTAAAAGCATGGGAAGATGCTACTATCATGRTTATTCTACTCCTCCTCCTCAAAATAACTCACTGAAAAAAGATTATGCAAACCCTCACACTGGAAATACATTCCTGAAAGGCTTCACTAAGTAACAGCAGTGTTAAATGCAGAGACAAGCAGATTCCTGAGAGCACCCTGTGTCATGGGAAAAGTAAAGTCTTCAGCCCCACAAGGCAGCTCACTCCCTTTTAAAAGGCACAGAGCACCCCACGTGCCAGAATCAGAGGCCAGCTGGGTCAGCGATGCTTCCTGCTTGCTCCCTGTGGGAAGCCACTCACYGAGTGTGAGAATGGTGAAGGAAACCAGAAGAGGGAACCATAAGAATCACCTTCAGAACACACTGAAGGCTTCAGCATTAGCTCCTCTTCTTCCTTCAGCTCACCGCAGTATCTGAATACTTACCTGTGCAGCTCCAGCTTGCCAGAACCCACAGCATGTGTTGACATAAGGTGTGCTGGGTACACAGCTGGGTACACAGTGCTGTCTTTTGTAGCTTTTTCTTTCCATCAGCAATAAGCTAGAGATTGGGCCATACTCCTCTTCCTCCTAACAACACCCCCATAATGAGCACATAGTGCAAATGGGCTGTACAAGCCTTGTGTGTTACTATCATAGCCTGGATGTAACATGCAATGTAACAACACTTCYTGCAGCTTCATGAGATTGGTGGCTGGATGCTTAGACAGAGAAAAAGGGGGCACAGAATGTCTTTGCAGATTTTTCTGGTTGGCCTGTGAAGATAGTCACAGTTTGAAATGCCATATCCAGCTCTCAGCTAATGGCTCAGGTACCTTAGCGCTGCACCCCACAGCACATGGGGGGCTCTACTTGCTGATCGTGCAGATTTCTGGTGCACAATTCAAGGACATCACTGCTGCCATCACAATAAATGAGATGCTGCACCAAGACCGCACCACTGTCCCTCAGCACACACTGATGTACCTCACCAGGTCTTACCTCCCAGCCAGGACTGAGTCTCCAACAGCTCCTCTGTCATRTCTGCCAGAATCCGCTCCACAGGGACACTGAGCAGCAGAGAGGAGATACAGGACAAGAGGCCCTGGCGCACGTACCTGTGGAGAAAGGACTGAACTGGTTAGAGCCTGCAGCTTTATGCTCTGCATTGATTTCACCTCAGGGGGTCTCCAGTTTCAAATGGTATGATGACTTTTGCCATATTCCTCCTGCTTAGAGGTGGAATCTTGCAGTGTTCCCCACACAGAGCCCCTGCCATGCTGTGCATAGGAGTCTAACACAATTCAGAGACCAGGACAMATCTGAGAGCAAAACAGAAATTGGATGTTTACAGTCTTTTGGCTACATGTCTTAATTCTTTTCCAAGGCTGAATGCTGGAATGGAATCTAAARTTTTCTGAGCTCTCTGAGTAAACACACATGAAACTATCACATGGACAAGTGGTCAGGAAATTTGCCAAGCTTTCTATAGGTAATGGCTGTACTGCCACACTAGAAGACACCGGCCAAGTTCATGCGTTGGGCTGGCATTAAACTCAGTTATAAGAACACACAGCTGGAGGAGAGCACAGAGTTAATGCATTAAGTCACTGACACCCTGAGCCAGGTGCTAGTCTTGGTCAAAGATAAACCATGACTGGAGGCTGGCTCACAGATGATCTTTAAAAATGAGAGTAYACAATCACAGTAACTCACGAGTCCGTGTGGAAACGCAGAGCCCAAACAAASTCCAGCAGTGCCTTTCCCATTGCTGTCACTGCCTGCAAAAGAAGATTGTGACAGCACCACTGAACACCATGCACACTGGCCTGTAGAGTTGGGCCTTGAGACATATTGCTTATTGAATCACAGCATGTCCTGAGCTGGAAGGGACCCACAAGGGTCATGAATCCAACTCCTGGCCCTGCAAAGGACACCCCAACAATCCCACAATGTGCCTGAGAGCATCGTCCAAACGCTCGAACAACGGTTTTGTTAAGATCAGTGCTACAATTGAATCTATTTTAAAATGAGGCAACTTTGGCAGTAAAGTGAAATGATGTGCCCAACCCCCTGAGAAGTTGACTGTTTTTCTACAAGAAGCAAAAGGTAGTGCAGGAGTGGCTTGAATCCCATGTCTCATTTCTGACCAATTTTTCCCAGCCCATTTCACAACTTCTCAGACCACACAACTCCAACTTGCTAACAGTCTCAGTGCAGCAGGCCCTGAAGCACACAGCTGTTCCAGAAGAACCTCAAGCTCCCAGGCTGGAAGTCTCCACTGCTCTCTCCCCTTTCTTACCACAGTGTTGACAGCCAAGTACATCAGGATTGCTAAAGTGTGGACCAGTCTTCCAAGGACTAAGTGATCTTCCCCCAGAAGATCAAATGTTGTTGAAGGCCTGCAAGTGCAAGACACAATTGTGTGGCAGTGAGAAGACTGATCAGTGCCTCTTTGGAACAGTCAGGAGGTTATGCAGGGGAACTGTCCCCCATAAGCCTGAATCCTTACAACAGTCATTATACAGGCACTACCAGGTTAACACAGACCAGAGKTGTTTGCTCTCGTCTTTTCTCCCAGAGCAGTATCTTCTACTCTTACAGCAGGTATCACACATTCTACCAAAGGCTTTACTTGGAAAGACCTACAGGCAAAAGCTACCCCCAATGCCATACCATTACAACTGGTATTACAATAATCTTGATTATCATGGAAT